CCCCTACGTCCACCTGTCTTAAGCATTATATCTTCAGCATCGTTCGGCCGCTGCAAATTTCGTTTTATGACGTAATTATTATATATGAAAGGCGATCCATTTACGTTTTCATTAAAGCGCTTGGCTTATGGAAATCATTGCCTACTTCTAGGCAGCGCCATAAATGCTGTAATTTATTGGATCTGGCTGAAAACATTTCTTCTCTTTTAGCATAATTTCAATAAATACTGTCCAACTTTTTCCAACGATGTGCCAATGATAAAGTGCCAAAAGAGAATGGGCGTTGGGGCGTCGACGCATATTTATCCTTAGCACAAGGAGCCTGTGCTTTTGTTTAGCTGCCGGCACTGCACCTTTTCGGTTTATTTTATTTTATTTTTTTCAGAAAACTCTCGTAATCATTACGAGCTAGCCAGCTGTTTGCCCTGCCACGCGCCAAGCTCGAACATTTTTATCTTTGCTACGTTTTGCGTTTTCCCTTTTGTAAAAGGCGCCGAACTTGAAACTCAGAAATGGGAGCTGAGGGCACCTTCAACGGCTGCTGAGCAATTTTGGGGCTTAACCTTGACTCGCTTACGGCATACACGAGCGCGCATACTCAAAGTGGGCGTGGGAGAGCTCCCTGTGCCCTGCTGGTCCTGGTCCTCGTTTCTCGCTCGTCTCTGTCAGCGCCATCTTGACGAAAGCCGCCTGTTGTCATTGGGCTTGGTCGTCTAATCTCATCTGTTACTTTCGAGAGGTTCCCCAGTTGTATGTGTGTGTATATGTGTGTGTGTGTGTATAGAGCCGAGCGCCGTTTTAGGTCGTCTCCTGAAAGTCATTTAAAATTATGTACATCAAGAACAAGCAGCAGGAAAAGCTTTAGCCTTACAGAACCAGCAGCAACAGTAGCAACAGCAACGTCGACAGCGAGTCAAGTCGCAAAAATTCTTTCTAATTTAGTCCACGCGACTTTTATGACTTTAATGGCCTACCACTTTGGTATGCCCCGCGCTACCCCCACTTGGCTAGAGCCTGGGGATTTGTCATTAGGTATTATTGTAGTTGTTGTTATTCTTGCTCTTGCCGCTTGTCTTTGGGATTAGGTAAGTTGGCCAGCTGCCTTTTGTGCCACAGCATTGATTTATATTTTTGCACATTTTTATGACGCTTCTTGCTGTGCTTTAAGCACAAGCGCCATGGCTATTTATAGTTTATTTTTATGGCCACAAGGGGACAACAATGAGCCGATTTTTGACAGTTGCGTATATAATATTCGAGGCTTTCTCAGTTGGCTCAATGCAATGATGCTGTGCTTTGAGGAAGCTAAGAAAAATAATTGGAATATGGCCGAACACATGACTCACGTCGAAACATAGATTTGTATATGTATTGAGAGAGGTCAGCATTAAGGCGACTTATATAATATGAAACATTTTTAGCTTTAGTTAGTGAGACTACCATAAACTTATTTGTATGAACAAAATGTTTTTGAAAGGTTGCTGTACGTCAACATATTTATAATCATATTATTTATTTGTTTTAACAAGTATTTCCTACCCAAATATCTTGACTTGCAGCCAAGCTAATTCTGAGACTTAATTGTTCATTAAATGCTAACCAGATCAAGTGAAAGTAATTATGCAGCAATTAAATTTCCAAGATAGTTGAATATGTAAACGATTATGTGGCCTAGGGTAATATATTTGCAGCTGGACAGTTTATAAACTAATTACGTAATAAGCTCACTGATACGTGGTCGATTGTAATAAGCAGCATTTGCACATGGAAACTTCTGAATACTCACCTAGGAGCAATCGTGTCTACACCTTGGCATAGCAATCAATAATTTTGTGAGAGGGCTTTTTGAAATTTCCTAAGGAGCATGGCTGCCCATCAAAGGACTCTTTGGATTCACACCACTTTACAGTTCATTAGACATCCGACGCGTACGAGCAGTATCTCAAATCTAGACGAACGAGTATCTGTGAACTGTGAGTGGTGCAGGAGACAGAGGGACAAGAACAGGGGGCGGTAGAGTATCTTTGTGTGATGCTCTCGCTTTGACATTGTTTAAAAATAACAATGTGAAGGCAACTTTTCCAGCAGGAGCAGAAGCTATACATAATAATTAATACGCTCAACTCATTGAGCAATTATTTAATTTGGCGTTAATAATATTTTGCGATTTTGTTGAGCTAGTTTTAGACACTGCAGCTGTTGGTTTGGGAGTTCGCTTTTAGCGCACATTGTATGGTGTCAAGTGATGCTATTTTTATCAACATCGGCATTCGTCTTTAGCCATCTCTTTCAAGGAAGTTCATCAAAGTCAAGCACAGCCACCGACAAGGCGACACAGGACCACATACAATGTCTACCTGCCAAGAAAGTTGACACATGTGGCAACTGTGCGTGCGAGTATGTGTGTGACTGTGTGTGTGTGTATGTATGTTCTTGAAAACGTGTGTATCTGAGAAGGAAATTTATTTCATTACAGCTCAGCACCCAACGCAATCGTATCCTTCTGTCCTTTTGTATGTTTGTCTGTCACTCTGTCTGTCTTGCCTTTCCGCCTTTCCCTCTATATACCTCCGCCTGTCGATATGTTTGACTATTTGACTGGCAAGCTTCCGTTTCAGTTTGCTGTTTTTATCTATCAGGCTGGCAGCTTCCTGCCAGTTTGCAAGCTGAATAAAATTCTCCACTCGTACATATATATATATATATAAAATTTCCATGGTCGCACGTGCAGAGCTTCTGGCATCGAAATCAATTATCTTAAATGAATTCCACAAAATATTTGCGCTGTTAAAAGTTGGCGCGAAAGAGCATGTGCCGGAAAAAATGACATCTCAAATCGTTTACTCTTATTTATACTTTTTTGCGTTTTTTTCCCGGATTTATACATTTTTTTTGTCAGCCTCCCATGAGCTTAGGCTTGTAAATTTATTTGCAAGACTTGGCCTGAGCGTAAGCTCATTGACGGAGAGCTTTGGGAGTGCTGTAATACCAATGGGCTAACAATTTAATTTGAATTATACGTGCCATACAAATAGTACCCAGCTCAGGTACGCGTATAACAAATTGATTTAGATCAGCTTCCGTTGAATGGATAATAGCTGAATCAATTGTTGTAAGCTGTGTGTTTGCCACAAAACACAAAGGTTCCTCGGGTGTCATTTGAGTAATGAGCAAAAACTTAATTGCGAGATTATGAATGTTTTACTGTATTCATGTAATTAGAAATTTTAAAAGTAGTAATTGATTTTTTTGGAGATTATCTCCATAAATTGTATTTAGCTTCATGTTTAAAGGGTATACCCAGCAATCGTTTTATCGAAAAGTGTGACAGATCCGCATCGAAAGCGAAGCGAACTAGAAATTCTATTTAATTTTAAAGTAAAACTACTCATTTTGTTATCCGTTAATTTTAAATATACCTTAAAGTTACATAACACTCGGATATTATACGTAGAAGAGTTTTCGGTTGTACAAGAGAGAAAATTAATCACACAGGTGTGTATTTACATGTATCTTTTGTAATTCAACAGGGTATATTTCAGTCCATCACTTTCAATTGAAGACAACCCATTTGCTAATGCATATGTGCAGCGTTTTAATCCATTCATGTAGGCTCCCTTCTGATTGCATAATCCCTTGTATCGGGAAAACAAATTACATGCTTTTTGCACTTTGTTAACTATCAAATTGACCATCTGATACCACACATAAACTTATACATTATTCAACTGTATAATTTGAATGGTTATTTGATTGTGACCCTTGAACTTATTTAATATTTGTCTGATGTTCACCAGAAATGTGCAAATTATAATTTGTGCATATTTTTCAGCGGGAAATGAATATGTATGTGTATTTTTTATTGCAAGAAAAATATTTACAAACACGCATATGTGTACATATCTCTATTATGCTGAATTTGTAGAGCTAACAACAGCACAATATTGCATTGAATTATGCATAAGCTAAAATGCATCTCAAAAATGCAGTGTGCCTGAAATTTCTGTCATATGTTTAGCATACCCAAGGAGTTCAGCTCTTCCTATTTTCGGGTGGGTCTTCAACTTTAGGGCACTTAGGTAAGCACAGTGTATACACAACGTGGATACATTTCACACAAGCAGTGCATCAATCGCTGGAAGGACTGACTGACTGGTGGATGGCATTAGAGATGCATTGATTTGAGCAAAAGTTTGAGTGCACCTTCGAGTAGGCAGCATATGAAAATCAATGGCTGCTTTGGCTGCCATTTTGCTGTCATGAAAAACTTCGTACACTTTGCCAACGTTTAGGACGATAAGCGATTTCCTCTACCAAGGACATAAGGGATATTTAACATAGCTGCACATTCCAAGGCAGCTATGTTGGTCGCAACCGGGCGGGGGCCGCAATGAGCGGCAAAGAGGAGCTCGGTTGAGTGTGCGCACATTTCAAGCACATCATCGGTTAAAGGTAAACATAGCTGTAACCATAGACGGAGGCAATCACTCTGACAGTCGGGCGGGGACGTAAAATTGCCAGTATTCAACAAAGTTTAACGAACTTACCAGCTCAGTAAGTAGTATGTAAATGTGTGAGTATGCACCTTATCGCCCCATGAATTGCCACACTTTTGCGGTAATGCAATGAAGAGCTCACTTTGAGCTAAAAGCCTCATGTTTAAACTTTCTCTGTTGCAAGCTTTTAAGCTCTTAACAAGCTTTTTGTGAAGCGTACAGTAAATTTCTTTGGGTTTGCGTATCGGGCTATCGGGATATTTCTACAAATAAGTAAGTTAATTTTTAGCAATTGAATTGAAATGCGGAAAGCTTTTAAGGATATTTCTGACAAATATATACCAATACCGAAGATATAAGTGTATATTGGTATTGTGCAATGTTCGTTCTCACTTGTTAAAGTATAGTTCTAAGTAAGCTATCATGTCCATTCTTTAAGCATATTGAAAAACAAATTATGTAATTGAAAAATAACAACGACTTTAATACTGGCTTAATCGTAACTTGCCAAAAATTGGAGAACTTAGTTCACCACATCATTTAGCTTACCAGCCGTGCTCCTTGTGCAGGACATGCTTATAAATGGTATAGGGTACTGGATAAGGTTTTGGCACAGGTATTTTAATGTGCTTAATCACCTCGACGGGATAGGGTTTCTCGACTTCGACAGGATAGGGCTTCTCCACCGTGTAGGGTATCTTGCGTTCCGTAATTTCGGGAACTATTTTGTAGACAGGTATTTGAATTTCCTGTTGCACCGGAACATGAACCGCATAGGGTTCGGGTATTTGTAGCTTTATAACATTGGGTACCTTTAGAATGAATGAAGCACCTAGTAAACATATTTTGAGCAAGTTCTTTTAATACTCTTACTTGTACAGCAACTGGATGTGGTATGGGCAACGGCACCTTCTCTATGACATGGACTGGCACGTGTTTCGATATCTCCGAGTAAGTTGTGGGTGATCCGTCATGATGCTGATGATGATAGTCACCGATTCCCGTACCACCTCCACTCCCGCCTTCGTAGTGTCCCTCGCCGTGTAGCTCGGAAGCGTAACTAAGAGAAAGGCCGCAGACCAACAGCTGTCCAGATGAACGGAAATTAAAACTAAAGATCCTTCTCATTCGATTTAGATGCACTTACTAGTAGCCACATAATTTCTGTTTTTTCTTATTTCTTGAACTTGGTTATGAGTAGCTCCACGCTCGGCGAAAAGCAGTTAAACAATGCGTTTTGCTGCATACGCTCGGTGGCTTTTATATAGCTGCATTGGGTTGGCCAAAAGTGAAAGATATTGCAATTGCAGTTGCAATTCGGTTGTTCGGTTGATGTAACCATAACATTGAAATAGAAAGTATTGCATTACCTTTTCATTCGGATCGCATAATTTTCATTGTGTTTTTTTTTTGCAACACAAACACTAACAAATTGGGTTCAAGTGGGTATCAAGTATCCCCTGATGTTGCTGCCAAAGTGAATGGGCCCGCATTGCCCCGCCCCACCCCGCTCCTGAAGTAATCTGGAACTGGCCTGGCCCAGCTTTGGGGTTAAGGTTGTTACACGTACTTGAGTTCTGCTATTACCATCGCTTCCGTCAACCGTAACCCGCACTAACGAAAAGAGATAGTTGGCAGTGGCTAACGCTCCACTCCAGCCAGTCAGACCACTTTTAATAGCCGTCTGAGATTTGCACAAACACTGAATGTTGTCTAGGAAATGGGCTGAATCACTACTTTGGGCCCTGGGCGCAGTCTCAGGTATAGGCCAAAAAAAAAAAGGCAACCCAAAAAACTGGTTAGCCATGATGCAATTTGTGTCAAAATTGCCAGTTTGAGAAAATGTAATAACAGGAAATAATCAAATGATCAAAAATGTCGAGTAATATAGTAGATTAAGGTATTCTTAATAGTGCTAACATACAATCGATGATTTAACCCTATTAGGTGATTGTCGACTTTATAAATGGAATTTATTCTTGATAAACATCAGTCAATCTATATAAATAAATGTTTTAAAAATACGTATCAGACTTTGTAAATACTCTTGCGTCGTTAGCTATATAAAAAACATGAACCCGTCCAAATATGCGTCTAAAAATAGACGATACAAATTGTGAATGTAGTGTCTGATAACAATTCCAATGAGATCAATGAGACTGGGCAAAAAGTAGGTTTTTAATTGATTTTAAGATTCCGCAAATTTCGGACATTATATTATAATTTATTTATACAAAAGTTTTCTTGTGCTATTTGACATAATCTTTACATTCTACAAGCTGAAGTCATGCGCTCGCTTAGGCCTCTGCATCCAGATCATCATCCCATTCCCAAGTTTCAAAACCGTCCTAGAAAAAAAGAACAGCATTAGCTTAAGTCTGGATTGATTGGATGTATAAACCACTCACATAATCATCCAGATTGCCCTTCTCCTCGGGTAAGGCTCGTGGCGAACAGGCCACATAAGCTACACCCGAATTGTGGCCGGAGCACTCACATGTCTGGATGCCAATGGGGTTGGCACTTTGCGCCACACGCTTGGCAAAGATGGTGGCAAACCGCATAATTGGATACTTGCGCTCTGGTATCAATTTGCGGGCACTGAACACCGATCCGTTCGTCTCCAGCGCCAACGGCGTACAAATGCCCAAATTACTCTTGGGAATATGCACCTGTTTCCGAGTTTCGGCATCGCCCTCGGGGTAGCGTTTCGAGTAGACCAGCTCCCTGTCCAGCCCGAAGAAGTGACGCAGCTTCCGCGTGCGCTCAAAGTCGAACTCGGTGTCCGCCAAAATGTGCAAGTTGACGCCCTCCTCCAGCATAAACTGCAATATGGATGTGTAATCAAAGCGCATGTCCTTTGCAGCGCAACTGCTGCACGAGAGCAGAATAAAGGTCTTTGATACGCCCGGTCTGAAGTTCAAACGGGATGCTGTTGAAATAGCCATCAGTATATCGTTGCTGCTGCCATTGCCAGTACTGATATGTGCAAAGTAATCGGCCAGCTGGTTGGGGTTCGAGGTGAACACATTGTGCTCATAGATTATGCTGCGAGGCTTCTCGTAAGGCGAAACACCACCAAATGCAACGACCGCATAGCTATGAAAGGAACATAGATTAATCACAATCTGATCAGACTTATCAATATAGTTTCGAGTATAGTCGTCTTCAATATCTACTGCCAGGCTATTAAAAACAACTTACAAAATCATTAAGAATATAATTACCGATTATTGGTTAGCTTGGCAGCTCGCAGCTGTTCCTCAATGCTGGAAACAATGGTCATAATGCTCTTTGCCTCCTTAAGATTTGCATTGCAGGGTTTGGCCTCCACAATGAACACGACATCGCTACTGTGCGGTATATCGGCGCCACTGAGCTCCATGAAAGTGCCCTCCGGAACATAGGAACCGTTCGACAGCTGGCAGCTATACAATTAAATGTTTAATACATATCTTAAGTTTAAGCTCCAGACTTTACTCACAATACACACTGATCTGGCACTCGCATGGGAACTTTAAGTGTCGTACATGTCTCAATATAGGCCAGGGCCGCTGTACAAGCGCCCTTCACGGCCGGATGACCCGGACGGATGGGTTGCGATTTCATGCCCAAATCCAGGCACATCTCATAGAAAGGTGCCGGATTGACGATATCACTGCATGCCGATAGAATGCCTGAATGGAAGAAACTGTCGCATGCTTGACTCACTTCCTTGCTGATTGCTTCTGTCTTGGCCAGTTGGTTCTGCCGGCAGCGCTGCAGACTCCAGGAGTCGGTGAACTCTTGCGGTTGATTCGATATCAAGTGGTTGGACATTGTGTACTCGTCGTATGGCTCGTTGTTGAGGGTGCCCAGCAGACCGGCAGTCTTAGCAAAATACCAACCACTCACTTCGAACCAGCACAGATCAAATTGTACATTGCAATGTAGACTGAACTGTGCGTCCGAAACGATAGACAGTATGTCTAGTTCTTGATAGATGTTAACGGCACCCAATTTTAGTGGCAGTACGGGTTGCCGATTGCCATTCACGGTGATGTGCTGTGTGTGTGATGGCAATAATTTGTTAGATTTGGATTTTATCGAGCTCACGCACTACTTACATCAGTTCCAAGGTCTATTTCAATAAGCTGTCCATTCGCAATGAAGCTGAGCTTGCGCGTGGAAATTTTGTTGTTTCCTGGACCTGTCAGTGGTTGGCCCTAAAAGCATAGTCAACACTTTAGCGAAAGGAATATGAATAATTGGCTTAATGCTTGATTTAAATAAACCTAATAAAAACCAATTTTCATTCATCATTTCCAAAAGTTTTAAGTTTTAGGTAAACGGAAGTGTCTATCTACTTAGTTCGACGAGATCTAAATCTTTGATATCTCTTTACTACATCTTACCGCCGGCTCCAGTAGCAGTGTAAAATTGCGCTGGAAGAAGTCGTGAGCTAGCAAATAGCTACACTGTTCATTACGACCTCCATTGGTCAGTTGCTCGAAGTTCAGATTGAGGCCTACAAAACGCTGATCGAAAGTCATGTAATGACGTGAATCAATAAGCAAAGCCCGTGCTGTAAATAATTACAATTAGTAAGCAAACTTCACAATGACCATTTATATTACTTACAGTAGTAGGGTGGCAGCCAGGTCTTGGGATCCAGATGGGTGCGCAAATTGTACAGCTTCATGATGATGGAGGAGTTGGCTTCGCTGAGGAAATTCTGCGCCTTATACAATATTCTATACTCGGGTATCTCCTCGAATTTGGGCGTCTCATTGAAAGCATGCCAAGACATGGGCAGCTTCTGTTCCAAATCAATAATGCCCACCTCCGGATCAAATACGAACTTAGTCTTGGCCTCTCTGTACATGTCGGCAGTTTCCAACGCATTCAGCGCATAGTTGCGGAACTTGTTGCGCAACAGTCCATAGAGCTGATGAATGCGATACTCTAGCTGTAGCTCATCGGCTATCCACTCCAATCTGGCCAGAATTTCATTATACTTCTGTACGACGAACTGTACTTGGTCGATCTTTTGCAGCTCTTTGATTTCCTGACAGATTTCGGTGATCACCTCATTTAGCTCGGCACCAAACGGCACCAGCTTGAAGTACTTTTCCTTGATGAAGTTCCAAGCCAGTGTGGAATACTTTTTGATATTCGTAATTGCATCATTCGCTTGAATATCTCTGTACAATCGTTCCGCATCGGCCGTAAAACTGGAGACCTTATTGAAATATGGCGACTCGGCCAATTCATTGGTGCGTTTGTAGATAAAGTCAAAGACCTCCTTGCTCAGATCCCAGGCGCTCGTTTCAATAAAGCTGATAATCTTAAACATGTGGGGTTCGAATCGTTTGAGAACATTCTTCCAGTAGGTTTCTGCCAGGTGCCAGAATTTGTGCCACAGATTCTCAATGTATTTGATGAATTTGATGTGCAGATCCTTGACAAACTTATCATACTTCTCGATGCCCTTCTCCATCAGCGTTGAGATATAGCTCAAGCTCTCGCCATGGAAAAACCGACTGATTGCATCCAGAACATTGTTGTAGGTCGTTTTAATGGTCTCTATTAACCAGACAATGCTGTTCCGCAGAGCCTTGCCTGAATCACCCATGGCATGCCACATTTCCGAGAAAATCTTGGGCAAGGACTCAATATGATCCCTGATTGCCAGCTCGTCCAGTATGGTCACCGTAAAGTTGACTACATTTTTGATATAGAAATCATTTGCTTCATACGACTGATTGACAAATAAGCGCAGATCGTTCAGATCCTCCTCCAAAACACTCAGCTGACTGATATCCTCAATGAACTGTTTGTTATACTCCTTGGCTGTGCCCCAGATGACACCCACTGATTCCACTGACTCGGTGTAGAGCGATTTGATCCAGAAATCAATGCCATCCGAGAATGAGTTATAAATTGAAGTGCCCACGCCACTGATCTTCTCCCTCAGATCGTTTTTGATATTGGGACGCCAGTGGAAGCGGCCCGTAATGAGACGCGAGTGATTCATCTTGAGATAGGAGCTCACATCAATAATACGTATCTCCTCGTAATTACGCCAAATATCCAAATAACCACTGCGTGTGTCGGGTATGTAGCCCACCATTTGAAGATTCTGGCTGGCATCCTCCGTTAAATTGAAGTCCATGCGTGCAAAGCGCTTGGCAAGATCGACAAAAACGTAGCCAGTGTGGTTCGTGTCGGGAGTGTCCCAGACGGTGGCATTGAGTCCATAAGTCGGATACTCCACGGTGGGCACCATCCACAGACGCACAGTTTTATAGGGCGTCCGACGCTCATACTCCACTTCCCGTTTATTGAGATCCAGCAGAGCTAGGAATTTGCCGTACATGGGCACATAGTCGCGCTTGTAGTGGGCCGTTGACTCCGTCTTGTAGTATGATGGACGAGCGGCTAGTGTGCCATTCAGCTCCACATCCAGCTCAGAGGCCGGATGATAACCATAGAACTTAAACGTATAGTTTGTGTGTCCCAATTCGTGATGCAAGTCGCGAAGCTGGGCACCCAAGACAATCAGCTGCTCCGGGCTGTCAGAATAATCGATAGTCAGGTGCGCTTTCAGCAGATCCTGCAGGCCACGGTAGTAGATGGCCTTGCAATTGATGTCCTTTTCGAGATACGGATGGGCCACCGTCCAGCCAAATGTCTGATGATCTCGATCGGTTTTGTGCAATGGTTCCGCTGTCCAGCGGAAGTTGCTGCGAATCTTTCTAGACTCTTCGTACCGTCCAGTTCCGACCCAGTTTAAGGCCAAGTCCGCATTGAAATTATTGTCGGTGAGGTAATACCAGCCAGAGGTAGATAGATTGCGTTTCGGATAAAAAATTTCAAGTTCAAAGCGCTGGGATTCGTTACCATTCTAAAAGAATAAGATGGAAGTTCATCAGTAAAAAAATAAGTTATTATAGTAGCGATATATTTTCTAACATAAAATGATTTTAATACTCACGTCATATTATATGCACTATTAATTTTATATAATAATTTAAATTTATACTTGAAAATTGATAAATATATCAATTGAAATTATTTCGAAATTGGAATGTTTCGCTTACCATGCTATAGTTGCCCAGTTCCAGATTGTAGCCTACCCAGGCTGTTTCCGATAGCTCGATTTTAGCATGCTGTCTGACGACGTGAGGATTGACATCCTCGTATTTTGTGGTGAGGACAACGGCACGATTTGGATGTATAGCCACCAGCTTGAACTCCTGGGCGCTGGGCGTGGTCAACGCATGTAGTTCTCCAGTTAGATTAAAATTATTTGTATTGCGCAGCTCAAAGACTTCAATGTGTTTGAAATCTCGCAAATCTGTCGGACTGCGCATATCCCGTATATTCACATAATGTATTCCCAGCGGCTTCATATCATTCTCCAGGGTAATGTCCGTAGTGTCCTTGTAGATGGGATGCTTCAGTTGTGCGACGCGCTTGTACTTGCCGTCCAATATCTGTGCCTCATTGTAGACAACCTTCAGATTACCCGAATCCAAATTGGGTGTTTTCTGCATACCGTATGAAACATCGGCGCGATGTCTCGTCGTCAAAGGTACTTCCATTTCTACGTTGCCATTGAGATTGCGATTGCTGTCGTTGCTGTCATACTTGCTCCTAAGCTTAAGGAATGCGCTGTCCTCGGGCCAATTACATCTCACATAACGATAACTATCACCACTACGCGAGAGATTCGAGAATATTAGATTATCTGGGTATATTGAAATGAATCAAATACAACAAAGTACAAACCTCTTTGTGGTGAACTCAAAATCCGTTTTGAACCAGGAGACGTTGAGGAAGGGGGTGCTGCTGTTAATCGTGCCATGCATGTTGTTATGGGAACTGAAAAACACATCCACATCGGATATGCGACGACTACCTGGATAATCCAGTGCACAGACCACATTGTGATAGTCAGCATCGGGCTTGTCATAGTGGCCGCTCAGACCGAATGTATGCTCGCCCTTGAACTTGGGCGTTGTTAGCTTAGCAAGGAACTCTCGGCGCAATCCTTGCTTGAGCTGCACCTGGAAATCACACTCCACCACAGAGATATCTTCCTTCAAACCCCAAGCGACGTGAGCCAATCCATTCAAATCATTGGTGGCATTGTGATAAGAGAAACGGGTTTCGAGCTTGCGCTTCGCCTCCAGCGCCTCGTAACCGGCCTCAATAAAAATGTCGGGTTGTGTTAGCTGTTTGCTGATAACATTGCCACGATACTTGCCGCTCAGCTGATGCGTGTCGCCCAAGGGTAGCGGCAGTTGGCTGAGCACCTCAAAATCAAACTCATCCGTGGACTTGTAGTGCAAAGACCCATTCACATCGAATTTCCATTTGGAATCGACACTGAGGCGACCGCCAGTTTGCAGTTGTTGGAATGTGTTGCCAGGATTTAAATACTTGGCACTGGCGTGGACAATACGTGGCTGGGCATTGGGTCGTTCCATGTAGCTTTCCAGCACCAGTTGCAGGTTCTCGGCCAGTATCCAGGACCACATGCAGCTGCCGCGTCCAATATGCTTTCCAATCTGATACTCGCCAACGATCTTGCCACCATCGGCGCCTATACCCACATCGGAGTGCAGATGCACTGAGTCGATGCCCAGGTGCTTCCAGGGTGTCTGTAGATTCACATCGCCAACGATGCGTCCATTCTGCACAGGCTTGATATTGCCATAGAAATTGATGCGTGCTATTTCCGGCTCTGTACTCTCCACCAGCACCGAAAAGTCCATGGGGCCATTGTTGTCACTGAGACTATATCCGCCAGATATCTGACACATTTTACCATCCTCAATGGCACTGAACGAGAAGCGTATTTTCTTCCGTCCCGCTTCCTGTATATTTAGCTCAATGACGCCATCCCGACCACCCGACTTGGGTTGCACACGCAGTGTGACATCTATGGGCAGAGCATCTAACATGCGCACCACACCCGTAACGCCATAGGTGGCCATGTTGCGATACAAATTGCCCAACACATCGTAGCGCTGCGGATCTGTTGGATTGCGAATGATTGTGCCGTGCATTGAGATGTTTCTATAGTTCTTCAATGGCGTCCACACTTCAATGTTGAACACATCCTTCTTTTTATTCGCACGTGTACCATACGCAATGCTCTGACCGTCGCGACTCAGGAAAATGAGATCAACGTTCAACTGCGGATTGGGTCCTTTCGTTGCCAGCACAGAGGTGGAGGCCAGTTGAAGGGGCAACATCGTCGTATGAACTTTACCATTGATATTCACATAATGTGCGGGATCCGTGTGCCAGTCCGTTTCAATGTGCAGCTGGAGACGATTGCGATAAATTAGCAGAATATTAGATGAAAGCTAATTGGGTTACATACCTTGTTTAGGTTGCCATTGTCGGTGACCTCAAAACGTATATCAATAATGTTATCCACAGCGGAGAAGTCTTTCTTAAAGTAGACGTTGCATGCATAATAAGGAATGACATTCGTTTCCAGCAATATGCCAACAGATGTTTCCAGGAAGTTGTCTTCATTCTAGAAAAAAGTGATTAAATAAGTTATGAATTTTTACAAGCATTGTCATGCAGTAGTTTGTTTAAGAATGTCGGATATCACAAATCACATTTCTTTGGCAGTTTAGCGATAAGTGTGTTTTAATTTACATACCTCAATAGCGGCTGCCAGCGAAAGATGAGTGTGAGCTGTAGTCGAGGTGATATTGCCCTTGTAAACATTGTCATCTAGTTCGATGTTGCCATGGATATTGATTTCTGGCAGCTGCTCATAGGGCGTAATGAGCTTCAGCTGCACATTGTGAGCCTTTGGCCTGACATTGTCGATCACTTTGGTATAGTTGAGCTCAAAGCCCATTTGCTGGGACTGAGTCAGGTTATCGTGGATAAGGAAGTGCACATGCTGATAGAACGAAGTGAAATTCAAATCCATCTGATACTCGAATACGGACTTGAAGTCCTTGGCCATGTCAAAGGGCGTGGAGACTGTGAGCACATTAAGCACATTGAGATAGTCCGGGAAGTACAAGCGATCCGTCAACTCGAGGCGACCTTGAGGTAGCTGCACACCACCTTCTATGAAATATAAGTCCTCATTCTCTTGAATATCGACCTCACCAACAATGGTGGCCCAGACCAAGGTGTCTAATTCAAAGTTGGCAAAATAGGAGAGATAATCCTCTTCCGTTTCCATTTCTATTCTGGGTGGCTGGAAATCATCATCGAAATGTAAATCGAGTTGCATCTTTCGATTGCTCAACTGATTGACCAGTTTCGGTTTGGGATGTCCATTGATCTTGACGCCCAGCCTATAGTCCGAGAGCTTTCCATGCAGCTTGAAGATGAATGTGTCCCGCTTAAGCAGCTGGGCTATGAAGCCATTCTCCTCGAAGCCCGCCAATGGTGTGAACACCAGATACGAGTACTCAAAGTCAGTTAAATTGTGCATATGCCAGACCCCCGTAAAGCCCAAGGTGGCATTGTTCCAGATTCCACGCATGTCCACTCGTTCTGGATTGACGTTCGCCAAAATTGCTGCCTGCTGGAAGCTCTCAATGGGCGTGGCAATGCTCAATTTGACGTCGAAATCGAGTAGATTCTTAATGTCTGCCAATGCTTCGACTCCCAGTGCGGCAGTTGGGGCACGCACCTCTGCCACAGCATGTCGCTTCTTCTCATTCAATCCGAAGCGGCCGTTAATTGTGCGGAATTTCTTCAGTGGAGTTGTGATATTTACGATGAGCATATTATCCGTAAACTTCTTCACATACCCATCCATAATTAGGGTAAACTCTCGTCCCTTAAACTCCAATGAGGCTGCTCCCTGCACGTGTCGCTGATCATCTAGCATAAACATGGCTGCCAGTCCACCCTTGTGATAGTCCTTAAACGGACTGACCAGGGAAACCGTGCCAGTTACTTTCTGATAGCGAGGGTTGCGAAGGATCTCCCATATTGAGTTGATGCTGTAGGTGTTGAATGTCTCGTTTTGACCCTTGTATCCCAAGTAGAGGTCAGTGTCGACCAGTTTTGGGTCCTGCCAGTGCTTGACCTTCACATTGATCGTGGGTATGTCCTGGATGGTGCTGTTGATGCCAAAGCGTACATCGAAGCTGACCAATTGATCGTGTATATCGTGATCGCTCTTGAAGCCCAGTTGCAGTTTTTGATCTTCGGCCCAGGACAGCGTTGAGTTAATCAGTATTAAATTGCGTTCATTGTAAACACCCGCTCGCAGCGTGTTTATGCGCCATCCCTCAAAGGGTGTACTGAGCTCCGCATGCACCCAATTGTGCAATGTCTTTCCCGGCATAATGCCCGCATCGTAGCTGAACTCAACCACCTCGGTGATGCTCCACGAAGCATGCGCCTTGCCATTGTACTTGGGACCACCCGTATAGGTGCTGAAACCACAATTTATTGTCCGCTCTGGATAGGTTAACATGGCATTGCCATCGTAGTGCTTATTCCCCGGATTGTTGTACTCGATGAGCAGGCCCAAGCGCTCCGATGGATCTCGATTGGCATCCCATTTCAGCTCCAGCGAAAGTTCCTTTCGTTTCACAATATTTAGCATGCCAACTTTAATATGCACATCACGAATTCTGTAATCAAAGTAATTTTCAATCTATTTTCTTGCTTTTTTGAACAAAGTTGAACCTACTTGTCGATATGTATCTCCAGCTGCAATAGCTTGGGCTGCTCAGATAGTAGCTTTGAGTTGATCCAATAGTCTTTTTCCTTGATCTTAAGTCGCACCTCGGTATTGGAATTGCTATTGTGTGCATTGGATGCGTATTGTACGGTTAGTCCGTACGGATCCTTGCCGTATCTGGCCTGCACGTCGGAAAATATCAACAGCTGACTTCGTCTATAGACAATATTCAGAGTGGTTGCCTCAAAGGACGGACTTTCCACAATCATTTTCAGATGATGCAAAGACTGTACACGCGAGCTGCGATCCTTATAATTGCCCTTGAGCGCTATCGAGTGACCCGTAAACCACGAACCATTAATAAACACCTAAGATATAATATTAGTTTTAATTCTATGTTCAAATTGGACACGAAGTAATGCACTTACCATATAGTCTTTGGTGGCCTTTTCGTTGACCTTTAAACTAGCTGTGCATGAATTAAATTCGGGCACTGAAATATTCATATAGGCGTCAATAGCAAAGAGGTTGCGATAGGGTAGGTGTACAGAAAATAGGCCCGTTATCTCCTTTTCGGGCGCATACTTCAAACCAATAATAACGTTGTTTTCGGTGCCGTTTTTGCTGCGTTCCTCATGCCTAATAAATAAAGAATTGTAAGACGTATGCTATCATTCAACTCACAATCTGGAATTACCCGGCTATGACTGGGGTTGACGGACATATTATTTATGATGAAGAATTATGAAGAATTTCGTTTACCAATATTTTTCGCACCCATTTTGTGTCGTATTAGACCTGAGCCTTCATCACGAATCAGTTAGTTAAATAGTTTTCTGGACTTGGATTTACTTACTTGATCAATATGCGATAATCGATTTTGGATCTAGGCACCTTCAGTTCCAAGCTCGCACGCGTCCGTGAACCCTCCAAAAGGACATCCTCGGATTTTGAGCGTGCAAAAATAACTCTCGCCATGCTGGTGTAATTGGGATTGACATAATCTGGTGCATTATTGTAGGTCAAGACGCCTTCGGTGTGACCTTGCAGGCTGAGCCACGTAGCATTCGAGGCAAAGTTCAGCTTTGGATAGGCAGTGGTGCGCAACTTGACATTGCCGTGATACTCAGTCTTCGATTTATCTCCGTTGTTCACCAGACGACCGGCGAAATTAATGGTTTCTATTTTGCTTGCCTGGAACTGAAAGACAGATAAGGTTCATGAATATAATATCAATATAACCGATAGACACTGAGATATTTTGCAAGACAGATACTCTGAAATCATTTTCTATGGAGGATACATCAAAACATCATAAATAATTGATTAATTTATTAAATATAAAAGCTAAAAGCTGTACTGGGATTCCATAATTTATTTTATTGTAGGAAATAACAAAAACAGAACTAATATGAACAAATTTTGCTGGAGTGTTCGATAACACAAGTTACTCTTCAATTGGCATAATTGGTATTCAGAATTCCCAACAGACTTTAAGATCGATTTCTTGAAATGCAATAACTCTTGTAGTATTTACTTACTGCACAATCTAACTTTCAAAATCAATTCACTAGCTGGGTCGATTCCTGATGATCTAAGTTATTATTTTGTAATTGTACTTACCCTGTAGTTGACAGTCATATTTGTTGAGGTGGTCACCTCGCTCTGCACAATATTGCCGCTGACCAGAGCTTGGAGTTTCTTAGTCTCAAAGGAGAGATCTACATCGTGCTGCTTGATGCCGTTCTTTTCATTGATCTTAATAGCGCCAACCAGACCGGTAATGTTCACCCCGTTGATGGCCAGCAGCATGCGTGGCTTATAGATCCAGGCAGTAAAGTCCTGATAGCGTCGCAGCTCCATGGCTAGATCAAATGAGCGATTGCCATTGTTATCGAGATAGACATCGAGGCGCCTATAATCGGGATTTCCGTCGTAACTGCAGCCAGCAGATGCTCGACTCTCGCCATTGACAAATGAAAGAGACGCATTGAAGGCTTCGGGAACCGTGGTCAAATTGGCCACCAGAATGCGCGGAATTTTCGAGTCGGGCGTTGTAAATACGAGTGTAAAATTATTGTCCTTCTCCTGCTGATCCCAGTTGTACTCGAATACATATTTCTTCGCAGACAGATCAGTCTTCTTCAGAATGAGACTCATGTTGAGCGGTCCCGACAATAATAAACTGGGATAAGCGGCTGTAGCATTGCTCAGATCGGGCACGCTATAATATGAGCACATTTGCAGACCAATGGCGCTGTCCAGCACTGGCCAAGTGCAAGTTGAATTCGAACTGCGCTTCTCAATGCCCGCCTGTGGCAACTGCTCGTCCCGCTTCATGATCAAGAGTTCGGAGCGTGCGCTAAAGATTTCATTCTTGTCCTGCGGTAGATTAAAGGAGAAGGAAACAAGATTGCTGCCCCGCATCTTTAGGTTGGCCTCCACTTCCGTGTTGGAGTACAAGTTGCTCTTGACCTTGATGCCCGACTGGCCCCAATACAGGTCCGCTTGCATTGTGGTAATCACATCTACGGACACCGATGGCTTGAAACGGCCCTGCACATCGAAATGCCAATCGACATCCAGCTTATCCAGATTGCCCGATATACTCAGGTCCACGGACGAGGCACCAAATGCGTGTATTGCCAGTGGCATGCCCACAGCCAAGGGGACACTATATGAGACGTCTAGAAATACCCGTGACTGTGTGTAGGAGAAAGGTTTGCCGGAGAGCAGCTTTTGCGCCTGGTAGAATGGATTGAACTGTGTAGCCAGCAGCATTACTTCTGCCATAGATTCGATGTTGTAGTAGCGCAGATCGTTGCCAAAGACTCGTAGTCCAAACTGCGCTCGAGGATTATTGTAATCGTACTTCAACTTGTAGCCCAATTGGTCAACATTGCGATCGATGCCATTTTTGCGTGCCGTTGCTGTAGGGTCAGCGTTGCGTTTGTTTCGTCCTGATTGTTGCAGCTCCTCTTCGTGTACGTAATCAAGATCTTCTTCCGGCTCCTCTACTGAGTCGTCTACTTTGCGCTTAAGACGCAAGTTGTCGATATTGAGCAGATCGTCCAAGGTGTCTTCCTCCTCGGCGCTCTCATTGCCCAGCCAACGATTTAGAAATGCGAGTTTCTTTCGCAGCAGTTCACCATTGAAAGGTCCTTTGGGCCCGAAAGCATTGACCACCAGCTCTTCGAAGCCTTCGGCACGTGCACTGAACTCAAAGAAGTTCACAGATTGACCAAACAGATCTGCGGTAAAGTTGACGCTGGCCATGCGTGGCAGATAGGAGTCGGTGCCAAATATTAAATTGGCATCGGTTGTGGTGCCTAAGAAATTGTCAAATTAAAGATGATGTGTTAGTGATCATTTAAAGTGACAATCTTGAATTTGTTATATATACCAAAATTGTATTCATCAAAGAACAAGCTGTGCTCATAGTTTCTGGAGAACTTGCGAATGTCCATCTTAAACTTCTCCGAGAGATCATCGTTCAGAAGAAGACCCTGCGCCTCAATGCGCACCGGCGAATTGGACTTGGCCAAATTGGTGAGATGCGACCAAACAAATGAGCCAACCTGATTGATCTCCTCGTGCTCCAGTATGGACTTGATGACACCAATCGATATATAGTCCGGACAACGCATCGTCTGCAAATAGCTGTGGATGCGCAGCTCCGAATTGAATGTGTAGTCAGCGTAGTTATCCAAAAAGTAGCTGCGGTACTTAAGGCAATTGACCCGCCTAAATGCTAGAATGCTCTGCAGGCGTATATCCACTGGCACCACAATATCCTTGATTATCAACTGTAATTGCTCCACAAAGCCAGTGGACATGACACCAATGTTCCCCAGACCTTTAAGCAGGATAATTAAACGCTCGCGTTGCTTGCGATTGCCACGATACTTTTTAAACTGAGTCACAAATTCAGTCTCCAAAAGATTGACAATTTGTGTAACCTTGAGATCCTCCTCGCAATTCTCGTGATGCTTGCAGTAGCTGTGCACCACAGCCGTGGCGCCTAGAGTGTATTCCGGCTCTAATTTCTTTCGCGCATAGTCGAGTATGGTGTAGAAGGTTTCCAAGGTCTCAGCGTCGGGACGCCTGATAAGGGACAGCGAGGTCATCCAACTCTGTGCCTTCTCTTTGGAGAGCTTCTCATTCACAATTTGATCCCGCATCACCTGATACGAAGCGGTGCTTTGGATGTAGGGCAGCGATTCCAGCACGTGGTTCCTGCAATTGATAATCAATTATCAGTTGACCTTCAACAGAGTTCATTGCCTTTCAATTTCTACTCACTTGCCCTGCGGACATGTGCTTGCCGAACGCTGCAGGAGTACTGTAAGCGTCTTATAGTCCAGGCTCTTCGTCGTCTGCAGGAAATTGGTAAACACCTCGATGAACTCTCGCTGTATATTCGGAAAGCCCACGGCGCACATCTGCACGAGCAAATCGCGAGCGGCCTTGATCTCATCATGGCTGGGCTTCACAGACGGCGTGTGATCAAAAATAAGCGAGGAACGTCGCTCAACCATTTCGATATCTACATAATATAAATATTGGCTACAGGCGCTAAATGTATTTATATTGAGTACTTACTTTGCTCCAAAAACTCGCTGATGCTGTAGGATTCTTCATCCTCCAACTGCAGTTTACTTCGTGTCGTTGTCAAGGCGCCAAAGCTGCCATTTGAGAAGGGCACCAGCAAGTGGCTCTCCATGCAACTAATCTCACGATACATGTAGTTATCAATGGTCAACTTTAACGAGAAGCAAAAGGTACATAAGAAAATAAATTTTCATATATAAGATTTAAGAAACTTTTAGCAAATAATATTTTGAAACAAGAATTTATAATTTAATAAGTGATTATTAAGAAGTCGCAATGTTTCAAAATCTAAGATTTGCAGTAATAAGAAGCAGAAAATAAGAAAGACATTGAAGGAAATATGTCTTAGCAAAAGCTTTTTGTGCTTTTTAATAAAATATTATGATGGCTTTTGCAAAATTGTTGATGGCTTGAACATGCCTGCACTCTAAAATTGTTGCTCTTTTTAGGTTTAATACAATTATAGCTTTTTTGCCGGCACTTACATTGCAGTAACTCTGTGAGTTTAAAACTGGCCAAATGGTTTTGTCATCCCGGAATGTGTATGGTGTTGTCTGCAGCACCGACTGTGTGGCGTAACGGCGTCGGCACGTGGCAATGTCCTTATTCTTGCGTATGGTCACATAGGCGCTGTCGGTTAATGCTAGTGTATATTGCACATCGCAATCACCGGATACATCCGTCTCTGTGGTATTGAAGTCCACATCGAATCGCATCATGGTATTTTGAAAGCTGGACAGTATGCCCTTCTTAAAGTTGAGCACCCAAGGTGTCTCCAACTCGGTGGGACACACCTCGCTGATCAGGCCATCGTGGAAGGCAAAACGCAGCAGATTCTTTGTTAAGTCATTGGCCAATTCGAGGCTCTTGGGATGTAGGTCCTCAAAATCTGGCGTCACTTGTTCTCCAGACGAAGACTCTCTACTGCTCAAGTTGTCATAGTAGTCATAAACATCTTTTGTGGATTTTTCCTCAGAGGATGGGCTGTCATTGCTGACCGGCGGCATCGTATCGTACAGCTTGACAATATTGATACGCATGTAGCCCTCACATGGCTTGGGAAAGAATATTTCCAGGTGTGCTTTCAAAAAGAGATCAGAGCTATTGTCGCCGGAACCGGCGAATTCAGTGCGCAATGCTACCGTATAATTATACTTGTACAACATATCGCCATAGCCGAATTTTGGGTTTGTTATTTCACATTGTGGACGTCCGCAGATGCGTGGATCCTTGAGTGGATCTAGGGATGGAAATAGAATCATATTTAATATTATATTTTTTAGAGCGAGTCAATTTATTTAAATATCAAGAACATTCTCTTGATTGCATTTTATGCTAAAATATAATTAGATATTATAGTAATTGTTAAAATGAGTATTTCATTAGGACTTACTTTCTCTTGCCGCCTGACTTGATGCTATGATCAGCATGAGAAGCAGCCATACAGCTGCTAGAGGATTTATTGCGCCCATCGTGGGCTTGGCTTGTTTGTGTCCCAAATTATAAGAGAAAATAATTTAGCATAACTCGATGATGGAACAGATGGAGTAAATATCTAGCTGAAAAAGAGGGGTTGAATTAAATTTTTTATTAAAAAAAAATTTAATAACAAGGGGAATATTGCTCAAATGCATTCTATTTTTTCTCCACCTGCATATTTGATTTACAATGCAAATTGCATTAATTAATTATCCAAATTGCGCTATTTTATTTCTATCACAGCACAAATTGAATTTAGAATACAAAGTCCAGTAGGCAAAATGATTTCTAGTCAACTTTAACAACTGAAAATTGCTTCCATTATACAGATTAAACACCCGATGAAACAAACCGATGGATGTTGCGACTAAGTAAAGCAATAAACTGACTTGCTGACTCAACACAACCAGAAGCCAGGATCCAGAAGCCGTTCCTTGACGTAATATTTGCAAAATGATTTGCGCTCAAATAACTTTCACACTTGTTGGCAATGACTGTGGTTTGGCTCCTTTGAAGTTCAACTTATGCATGTGGGCGTGGCGGAAACAATCGCCTTTTATTATAACACCCGTGCACATTTCCCTTTGGTCGGAGCAAAGCCAAAGCAAATCAATTGAATTTCCACTTGATTCAACATAAAACAAAAACCAGAAAAAAAGAAGAAAAAAAAATAGGTAAGCAAAAACAAAATCAGTCGAAGACCTAAATGGAGCAGCAACAGAAGGCAGGTCTTCATCATTAATTCCAGTAATAAAGTGTGAAGAAATTGGAGAAAGGATGTCGGGTGCAGGAGAAACTTACGACATTCCGATTGATACCAACTGTTGTTTGCATTTGAATTTGATTTTAGAGCATGGAAAAAAATGGTTAACATTTTTCTTCTTTTGTTTTGCTCTTTGCACTTTGCGATGCATATAAATCGCAGCTAGAGTTGTGGTTGGGTCGGTTTCTGCTTCTGGTCTTAGTACTGCTTACTGGTTGCTGTTGGGTATCTGCTGACAATGATTGCTGTTACAATGGTTGCAAGAAGCAGCAAAAGCACTTAACACTTTTTGGAGTGAACGCTCCTGGTTCATGCGCCCTGCATACATACAAATGAACACATGTATATATATGTATAGATATATATACATATATATACATACAAATACATAGATATATTTGTGAATATCAATTCTTCATTGCACGCTGACAAAATGCTTGTGTGCGGCTGTCACAGATTGCATTTGCATTTAGTTCTTATTTAAAGGTATATAATGATTACAAATCGACTTACAGACGGGATTTGTCGTCAATTTGCGATTTCATGCTTGTCATATTTATACAAAAATTATACTTTTTTAGCAGGAGCAATGAATGCGAAATTGCGATCGTAATTTTAGTAAAATATTCGAAGCTTAACTTTAATTTTGAGTAAGAATTTTAGAAATAATTATAACGTTCTTATGCAGAAGGCTATAATAAGTATCCTCTTTCATTTGTATATATTTTTAATAAGATACATGAGTTTCAGAGTGGTACTGCTTACAATCGAGCGTCTGTTCGAATAAGTAAAATTAATCATTTAAATCAGTTGTTGTCCACGTTTTAAATTTATTTCCCAAAGTTTGTATTCCAAAAACAGTGGACTAGTCCTCAACATTTTGCTTGCCTATCAATGTTAATGATCTGCATACTGAATTTATCAGTGTTGCATAATTCGCGATCATTTTGCTCACATTTAGCATTAGCATTCAGTGTTGTTATTGAAACAATAAATATAGTTTTAAATCAGTAGTGTGGAATGAAAATACAGTGCTCCGCAGGAAGCATATAATAGGATTATGTAAAAACGAAGCCAAATCGAAACGGAAATAATTTCAGAGGACGCTTGCGGCTACAAATCAAGTACTTGTTAATTTAATCAACTGTGCTTTATAATTGAAACTACTACAGTGCTCGCATTTTATATAGCAAACTAGAAACCATATCTCTATATTACTAATGTTGATGTCTACTTCATTATCTGGCTGTGTGTCGGTCATGACCACGGCATACGCCACTCCTCTGGCCCACCCCATCTGCCAGTGCAAAGCCGATAAGCGGATTTATACCATCGCGAGTGCAGTTAAAGCCATGTGTGTATGCATGTATAAAGTTCACCCAAACACATTGTACCATTTATGATGGGAATAGTATGCGATATGTGATGTGGCAAGGCAAAGGACATAAATCTAATTCTCGACTGGTTTCAGTGGTTTGCCACACAATAATCATGACGGTGCTTTTTGATTCGAACGCAAGAATTGCTTTCAGCTTAGTAAGCTGTGCACTGATTTGAAATGCAAAAGAAGTAAGAGATTCATTTTATAATAGTATATTTATATTTATATTGATTACCCCATGGATTGCTGACGTTCAACATATTTTGAACTTCATTTTACATTTCTTTTGTGCGGTGAGTAAAAATGCATATTTTTTGTTACAGAAAATATTTGTAATAATAATATTTACAGACTTTCTTGTCCCATCAAAAGTTCTTCATAATTTATTATAGACAGAAGAATCTATTTAAATTAAATAGACATTTCCACATTAAAGATTATAACACATCAAGAAACTTATTTTCTCCTAGCACTGTTAAGCTGCCAATTTGTCATTGTTTTTGTTTCTTTTTGTGCTAAGTATTTGCCTAAGCCTGAACATCATCACAGTAGCTTACGTATTGATTTGTATATACTTCAATAATTGGTACTCAACGAATTTGCCAATAAGCCGCTCTCTAAAGAGAAAAAAAAAACATTAAAAAGAAATGTACATAAATCGCCTGTCATCTAATGCCAAACGAAAACTGGTCATCTAAATGGAACTTGAAAAAACAAAGCCAAAAGTAAAAGCGCCATTTGTTTTCATATTTCGCATGCCCCACCTCCATATTTGGGATCACATACATTCGTAGTAAAGCAATTTCCTGGCGTTGCAAACATTTTTATACAAAATGCAATTTCAAGTGAAGGTGAAGTTGAGCTAAGACTTAAGAGTTTGGGAGTCGCCTGAGGAAGCAACCAATATGGGTAAAAACTGTAGCAGAAGGACTGTAAAAACGAATGACAAATACACTTGAAGTTTAAAATAAAAATTCAAGTTATAAATATTACAAGATTAAAATGTTAATGATAAATATAAATTCAGAAATCATTCATAACTTATATATTTATTAAATTAAGTATAGATATTGATCCAGCTCAGGCATTGCAATGCATTTAAAAATTTGTTAAAGGCTTCGCATTATACTTTAAATAAATTAAAATTCATATATTTATAAAAAAATCAATCGTACTAAGAGAAATTTAATATTTGGAATATTAAGAAAATATTTCTACACTTCTGTTAGAATAAAACTTCAAAGGGTATTGAAACATGTAACACTTTCATTCAACTATAAATTCTCTGGTAAATGTAATAACGTTTGCAGCCTGCGGAAGTCCTGAGCCAGACACTTTAACAATGGCCATAGACTTTTTTCAATGTGCCAAGCAAGGTGTGAGGGTGTTCTGGGGGTCATGCGTAGTTCTTACACATGTTCATATGTACATACATATCTAAGTCTTGAGTTGCGACGGCAGGCAAATCTAATAATAAAGTGAGCGAAGAATGTTGCATATGCAAACAACAACAAAAACAACAGCAACATCAGCCTTGACTAGTTGCTGCTACCAATCAAATTGAAGTTTGCCATGGGAACACAGCTACAGCGTTGATGCGTCTATCTTAACGCTTATGGAAGTTCGAGTGCACAAAGCAACAAAAATAACAATAGCAACAAAAAGGCGCATATCAACAGAAGCAGAAATTCAATTCACAGAGTTACAAAGCTGTTTGTGCCACAGCTCTGCCAACTGCAACATGAGAGAGAGAGAGAGAGAAAGAGAGAGGGGAAAAAAAAACATGAATAAAAATTTGCTACCAATATGCGTTTGTAGTACCTTTTATTATTACTTTTCTAACAAAAACTCAGTTTGGCTACCTGCCTCCATGTGAGCCGATCCACTCGTTTCATAGGCGCTTTTGTTATTCCTGGTGCTTCCCAGTTGTTTTTGCTGCCGCCTAGTCGGGGCCAACCACGCAACCGGCCCTAATGGCTACCAAATGGGGCGCCACGTTTGGTCATCGCTTTCAGAATCCAACACCAAACCCACCCTAATGCTCACCCGCCCCAAATACTCACAGCATTTATGCAATGCATTTTTTCATGTTCGATAAAGACAAAAAGATCGAGAATTGAGAGTGGGGGGCTTGTGAAACGAGCCGGCTGCAGGTGCTCTGTACCAATGTTTTCGTATGTTGCCATAGCGAGAAATTGCAAAATTGAAAATTATGTCTATCTCTTGAAAAATGGCTAATAAACGAGATTAAAATTGCCAGTAGCGCGATTTTCAGCTACTGATGCTCCTGCAGAATGCATTGAATTCCAAATTGCTACAGCATGTGCCTGATTTACACACCGTAAGGGAGCGTAATTCGCACCAGGATGTTCACGTCTAAGGGAACCATATATCTTCCAAGTACAAAGAACAGTTATTTTCATTTTGTCAGACATTACATACCATTGCTGCAATGTGGCACATATACGAAATGATATTGGACACTGAGCACCTACATATGTATTTACGTAATTAATACGATAAGGCATTACTTGAAAGTAAGATGTAAAGATATCGTATTGTGAGTGAATCTGACCTATTTAGGAATATATTTCGGTTTTACTTTAAGTCATTATTAAAGAGACAGAGACTATGTAACATTGTAGATGTGTAGGACGGGATAGAAAGAGAGAGAGAGGGATAGAGGGAGAGAATCAAATATAAGCCAGGCATCAGTTCTTTAGAGTAGACGGTAAGATACTCTTTATACAATCCCTAATTCCCCTAAAATCTATCATGTTAAACATATGTAAATATATTAAATTTATATCCTATCTCTAAAAATACTTATATCACAGCTTTAGTAACCAATTGTATACAATTTTCATTTGTTCATAATATAACCATAAGCCCATTAATCTTTAAGTTAGTGGCCGAAAGACTTATAGTTCGTTTGA